TGAAAGTGGGTGACAAAAAGTGCGAACACATAGACACACACATATACAGACACACACACACACACACAGACAAACACACACGCATACATACACAACCTCTTCCCAATATGCGTTTTTGTAATCTGCATATATGCAAAAACGCATAAAAAAAAAAAAAAAAGCCCAAGTGCGTATAGATCTGAGGTACGAACGTTTGAAGAAAAACATGTAAATTTTTCAACGGAAAAAGGTTTCGGGAAGCGGTGAACGAAAGCTGAGACTCTGCAGGGATATTCTCTGTTCATTTGTAGGCTAAAGATTTCAGATTCACTTGTCGCATAGCTGAGTCAAGCACGAAGTCACGTCATATTTCATAGTTGGCACCTTGCCAAGTTGAAAAATAGCTGGAAGACGACAGCTGTATTTTGCCAGAATATTTATCAACCACCTAGGGAATCGTACACCTAAATGGAGTTTGGAACTGCCCTTGCACTACGCCTTAGGGCATGAAGGAGACATTTGTAGTGAAGTGGCGACTATGATCTGAATTTAGTTTGAAGATTAAACTGCCTGCATATGGACATAAAAAAGATCACTTCTATGTCAACCTCAAAAACGAGTGCATTTCGCTCAGATTTCGCCATCCTTGTCTCACGACATTCTGCCCATTATCCACTTTGCATTTTTAATGAATAACGGATCACAGGAACCTCAAGCAAAATTTACGATAATTATGGAAGCTGGAGGTTAAGACTTCACCCGGCACCATGATACAACTCTTTTGTCACAGCTAACGCCTCTTCTCTAGAAAAGGCAAAAACATTGCCAGCATGAGTGCAAATGTTAACTTGTAGAGGAACAACCACTCGTATTGTGACGATATGGCTGCTTCAAACTGAACGCAAAAATGCATGATCGCACCGCAACTCTAGTGCGCACTGCTACCCGGCTTTACTCCAAAATGGTATAGGAACAATTTTTGAAAAAAAACCTCGTCAGCTCACACATAGAAATTTCTGGAACAAATGTCCGAAACGCTTGCAAACGGCGAGGAAACGAAACTGCCTTTTTTTACGCTACTTTCATGGAGAGAAATGTCGCTACGTTGTGAAAACAGGATTGGTCTAAGAGAATGCTGAGAAAGGAACGCTAGCTTTCCAGGATTCATTTTCGGTCGTTTGCGACACAGCAATTGCAAATGAGATGCTGAATCCTGGGATGCCAACACGGGTAGGAAGCACACACCTGGTGCAACGTTATCATATCGGCTGCGGTCCTTATGCAGGGAACTACTGCTGGCGCTGCTCCCACTTCCACCTTCATCCGACCATCCAGCCGATGAAAGGGAGCGCAATTCATCGCTCTTGTCTTCTTCAGCTTCCTTCACCTTCCTTTCCATTCCGTTGGTGTCGAAGGTTACGCGTGGCATATTCTCCTGCGCAGCGCCAGACCCATGTATCATTGTCCGTTTTTTCAGTACTCGCTTTGGAAGAGCTTCTTCCTCTGCTGTCTGCTCGTCCTCGTAGAAACCAAAGAAACGGTAACTATCAGATGACAAGCTCACGCCATCGTCAACGCATTCATCCCTGAAACAGTTTTTATTTAATCAGTTCAAATGCTTACCACCATGTAAATTTCAAATCAAAAGTTTGTCGCATGTAAGAGGAACGACCATTCTGGTTGCTGGATTCGCCATGTAAGTAGAAAAAATCGCAAAATTTATGCCAGAAGTGTAAAATTATCCAAAAGCGGCACTATTATGTGTGAGAGTCAAATTCAGAACTTTGTCGATTGCTCCCTTTCTGGAAAATAGGATCGCGCAATACATATCCACGTATTGAACTTTTATAGCTATTGTGGTAAAACT